AAGTAACAAGGGTTTCGCCTCAATCTTCAGGCCCCCGTGTGAAACGTTTTCCATTCTGATCCACGGACACGAGGAGTCAGGAGCTGGGATTTGTCGGAGAGAAGAAAGTGTCCCTTTGTACTAACTGTGTTCTAAGTTTATTTTGGCCTGAAAAATCTATGGAGTTAGTGGGAAAACATGCTCTTCAAGTCATTCAGAATCTGTGTGTGGGACACTTTTGCCTGAGAAAGCACCTCAGCCCTTTTAAGGGACAGGAGTAGCATAGTTAAGGTGACCCCACCTCTGTGGTGGATGACAAGCATCACCAACAAAGTTGAGTTAGTTGGTATTTTTGCATGGATCAACAAACACATGGGCTTAGTTTGGAATCACTATGCTAGTTCTGGTGAGAAGTATTGAGCCTATGCTTTTTTTGACTCCCATGGGAGGCCTGTTCCTTTCTGATGGAGACAGAAGAGGAGTAGATGGGGTTGGGGGTAGAAGGGAGGTGGGGAGGGAGCAGGAGGAGAGGAGGGAGGGGAAACTGTGGTCGGCACATAAAATAAAATTTAAAAATTTAATGAAAAAAGAAAACTGAGTCAAGATAGCATACAGGGTAGAAGTCTCCTTTTGTCAGACTGGGGATGTAGGCAGGAACTACGACAGTTCTCAGGTTCCTAAGCTGAAAGGGGGTCCATTCTCCCACTGTCAGAAATGCCCCAAGATGGGCAAAGCTTGGGGGAGGTAATGTTTTCAATGGTGTTAAAAACATCGATTCCCAAGCTGAGATTAATCTGAGTGCTCAAAAGGCTGAGGCAGGAGGATCATCATGAGTTTGAAACCAGTCTGGACAATAAAGTAATACTCTGCCCCCCCCCCAGCCCAATTAACAAAAAGCATTGGCTCCAGGTGTATTCCTGGTTTCTTTATTCATTATATATGACTAAAGCCACAGTGCCTGCATTTTTATTTGCTATTCTGTGGTCTGTTTGACTGCTAAATCTGTCCAAGGGATCAAGATGGAAATACAGTACCCAAGGTGATAACACAGGACATGAGATGAACACCTAGCAACAACAAACTGCCTGAATCTGATGGATGAAAGTCATAGTTCATGCAGGCTGAGCTAATTAAGCGGTTACCTGTGAAAGGCCAGTGCCGCTAACCCACTACGTTCTATCTGCTTTTTGTCCCTGTGATGGGAGATGCTGAGCATCAAAGTATCCAGGTGGCTTATGACTATGAAGCATTTTAATAAGCTCTGTGAGTGATGGATGTAATTGGCATGGAAGGGCACCTTTGATGCCTGATGGATTCTACAGGAATAGCATTGTGATGCCGTCCCTGAGACTGCCTCGAAAATCTAGAGGCTCATCGTGTGTACTGAAGTCACTAATTGGAACATCCGCTCCCCTGACAGAGACGCGAAAGAGAGAAAGCAGTTAATTACTTCTCTCCATATCTGATGATGAAATTTTCCCTTTCCTCCCCTCTGTTAGAGGACATCATTAGCCTGACATGGTGGGTGAACAATGTTCTATTATTATACCTGGATTTTTTTTTTTTACTACACACACACACACACACACACACACACACACACACACACACACACTTCTGGACTTCTATTTTCTTATTTTCTATTTAACAGCTGCATTGTATTTGAATTGAGCCATGCTATTATAGACAGATAATGAACTTGGTCACCAGCTAGTGTGAGTCACTATCTGAGACACACATTTTCAAGGGAAGGGTTCAGCCCATGGCCTCCTGGGACACAGGGATGCAGGGACGAAGTTTTGTATCAGTGCTCTCAAGGAAGAGTGAATGTTGTGACATCTGGAACCTCTTCCCTTCTGAACCATGTTTTACCCAAGGCTTTTTATGTATACACAAGGCTGTCAGTTCAAAGTGTCTACCTCTTCAGTTCTCACAGACTTATGTAGAAATGCTAGAAAAGGTCTACTTCACCAAAGCAGGATTTAAAAACTAAATTCACCAAGTATAACAGCAGAGACAGGCACCACCGAGATCAGAGACTGTATTGTTTGTTTTGTTTTGTTTATATTTCAAGACAAGATCTCACTACGTGTCTCTAGCTATCCTGGAACTCACTCTGTAGACCAGGCTGACCTCGAACTCACAGAGATCCACCTGCCTCTGCCTCCTGAGTGCTGGGATTAAAGGTGTGTGCCACTATGCCTGGCTTCTTTTGAGATCTGAGGCTGCAAACAGTTAAGAGTTTGCTAAGCAATCAGAGCAGGACAGTGCTCTACACCTTCAATGGCTCCACATTGCCTTCTCACAGAAGTCCAGGTTCCTTCCCTGGGCATCCGTGGCCTCCACTATCCGATCCCTGACAGATTCTCCAGCTTTCTTATGCCCCACTCCCCACAGATCCCCCCTCTTCAGCTGTTGGGCTATTGCCTGTCCCTGAAATACATCTAGCCATAGTGTACCCATGTGTGTCTAGTAGCCCCGAACCATGTACACAACAGAAATGTCCTAAGATCAGAACAGAGCTGGAAGATCGTTGTCTGTGGCATCACAGCTGTCCTGAAAGCAGAGTGGTGGCATTCCTTCTGTGTATGTGGTGATGCAGGAGTGAGGTACCAACTGTGCTGTGTGCGTCAGAGAGAGAGAGAGAGAGAGAGAGAGAGAGAGAGAGAGAGAGAGAGAGAGAGAGAGAGACAGAGAGAGAGAGAGAGACAGAGACAGAGACAGAGTAAGTAACTCATGGGAATCAGTTCTCACCTTCTATCATGAGGGTCTAGGGACTGAACTCAGGTCCTTAGACTAGGTGGCGGGCACCTTTACCCATCTCAGCAACCCACACACATAAATTTTGGTAGCAAATGACTGCTACTGGCATGTTTATCATATGATACTTTAAATCATGATTATTTTCACAGTGGGTGCATTCCCTGAACTTACACGTTCACACCAGCAGCAGCCATGTCATTGGACTGTGGCCTTTTCTCCTTTGTCAGACTTAATTTCCTCTCATTTTACTCATGGCCTGAGAAGCAACCCGCTCTATGACCCATGCCGCAGGTACTTCTAAGATGCTCACTCAACAGCACAGTGGCCTAAGGCCTGTGCCTCAGAACAAACCTGTGTTTGTTGCTAATGCGCGGCTATGGTGGTTCTGTCCACTCTGCAGTTTTATGGGGTTAAGTGACTTTCATGGTGGCATCAGCTGACAGGGGATGGAGGAATCACTGCCCCGTATGTCCTGAATCTGTAGATCTGGCCAGTCCAGAGCAGAGGACTGAACAGGAGCTCTCTCTGCCACTGCAGTAACTGGTAGGCCCGGAGCAGAGAGCAGTCTGACCCCTCCCCTGGCTGTGCTTACAACTTCCCAGACGCTGGGTTCAGAAATGTAGGTGCAGAGGTCTGCCCAGCCTTTGAGGAGCCACGCCTATTACTTACGGTTTTATTTTAGACATTGTCTAAAAGCATGGTGTAATAAGCTGTCAATGCTTCTGTCTAGGAGGAGGCTGGGGACTGGTGGCCCCAGAGCTGAGGGGATTCTGACACACCCTGTCGTGTGTCCTTTGTCTTCTCCATTCATTCCTCATCTCTACCTCTCCTCACCTTAGTGTGGCGAGTGGGGCCCCAAAGAACATCTCTGTGGGTCTCCTTACACCCTGGGGGGGGGGTAGGCAGGGTTCTCCACACGTAGCAGCTGAAATGAGCAGAACATCAGATCTCAGTTCCCAGCAGAACCTCAGGCAGGAACCATGACCTGGTCTAAAATATTGTGGTGTTTAGTTTTAAAAGTCAGTGTGCTGCAGCCTAGAATCACCTGGGGAAAGAACTAGAGGAGGAATGGCCTAGTTCAAGTTGGCCTGTGGGCATGCCTGTAGGTGGTTGTCTTTATTAGTTGGCATCCACTGTGAGTGGTTCCATTCCCTAGGCTGGGCCCTGAGCTGTACCGTTTAAAAAAAAAAAAGCTGAGCAAGAGCAAGTAGATAGCATGAGTGTATTCATCTCTCTCTTCTTGACAGTAGATGTGGCGTGACTAGCTGTTGGAGTCCCTAGCTTGACTTCAAAATAATGGACGAGAATTCTAAGTAGAATGAACCCTTTCCTACCTATGTTGTTTTTGGACAGGATGTTTCCTAAATTTAAAGGGGGAGGGGCAGGGAGAGACAGAGAGCATGTGTGTGCACACCTACAGAGACCAAAAGCAGGCATTAGATCCTCTGGAATTGGAGTTGCAGGTGGCTGTGAACCACTCAACGTGGGTGCTGGGATCTGAACCCAGGTCCTCTGCCGAGGCAGCATGTTCTCCCGACCACTGAGCTGTCTCAGGACATTTTATCACCCCAACAAAATGGGGACAAATATCAAAGTCTGTTTCTAGAACAGTGCCAGGTCTAGTTAGCTACTGGTGATTTGTGAGAACATTTAAAAAAGAAACACTAAATTTATTTAATTTTATACTAATATCATTATCAAGAGCCCACCTTAAAAAAAAAAAAGGAGGGGAAATGTTCCCACCTCCCGATGACCTTTGCCAAGAAAGTGACACCTTGCTGCTTCATCTTCTAAGTACTGGGGGACCTCACTTCCTACGCCAGTGGCTGAGGGGGAAACTGGCCCCACCCTGAAGGTGCGCAGGGCTCAGGGAGGGCACAGGAGTGGGTATGGGTGGCAGCCGGCCACAGAGGAGCCATGCATTGGCAGCAGGTCAGCCACCATGGCCCAACAGGCTGCTTTCCATTTCAAAATCTTCAGTGTGAATAGGGGTGATTGTGTGGCTGGGATTCCAGCGGCGCCCAGCATCCCCAGTGAGGTGGGATTTACTCACCCCCATGACCGAGGATACTGGAAAGGGTTGGCAGGAGCTCTTTGGCAATGTTTGCCTGTTTTCTGCTGGAAGCTGCCTCCAGATCATGTGGCCCCAGTTCTTTTGGGCTGTTTGGCAGTTATGTTATTTGTTCTCAGGGGAGGCCTGGTGTCTCCAGGGTGGTGGGGAGGGGGCTCTGGAAGGGAGGGGCCAGAGGAGAAGCACATCATTCCTAACCCAGTTCTAGTAGCAAGCCAAATTGTCCCAGGGAGGCTGGGTGCTGTCAGCCTGGCACAGCAGCTCTCCGTCTCGACATCCCTACGGGTGTACGCTGCCACAGGAGACAGAGGACAACGTGAAGGGCCTGGATGCCTCAGACATGAGATTCCTGTAGAGAGAGCGTCCCAGGTCTGTGTGTCTACGTACTTTGCGCTGCAGGGAAAGAGAGAACTGGAAAGTGTTTGACGGGCTGAAATCCCATCACTACCCAACATGTGTGCCAGCTACATGCCTGCCCAGAGGAAGCCCTCCCCAGGGCGGCCAGAGGCCCCATGTGAAACCTCCTTTGGGGTTCTGTTTATAATTCAGAGGTGAGGTTTTGACAGACCTAAATACCTACCAAGGGGAAAGGGGCCAACTAAATTCTGCCGCTGTTCTCCAGGCAGCGCCGTGTGCCACTTAGAAGGAAGAGAATTCTCTTCATCTTTAAGTGGGGCATTAGATCCTCTGGAATTGGAGTTGCAGGTGGCTGTGAACCACTCAACGTGGGTGCTGGGATCTGAACCCAGGTCCACATTCACAGGCATGTGCCATGGCAGATGTACGGGGGTCACTTGTGGGCTCTATAGCTCAGACTCAAGCTTGTTAGCTTGGTGACAGGTGCTTTTTCCCTCCGAGTCACCTCTCCAGCCTGAGGTTAATTCTTTTTTAGCTAATCCGGTGTGACATCACTAATCCAGTGTGACATCACTAATCCAGTGTGACATCACTAATCTGGGTGTGACATCAGGATGTTAAGAAATAAAGTAAGCTGCGGATCTATGGAGTTTGGCCCTCTGTGGGGCAATAGTCTAATATAGCTGTGTGTCTTTTATAATGAGGATATAAATAAAATAAAATACAAATTAAAAACACAGTGCAAAACCCCCTAGGTCCATTCGTGTAAATACATACACATACACCTTGCTGGAAGGTTATTTTTGAGGAAGACTTTAGCCTAATCTTCAGTTTAATTTTCTAACAAAGAATTGTGTCACCTGTCCCAGTAAGAGCAGAAACAGGAGGCATCTATGACTATATTTATTTCCTGGCTTTTCTAAAAAGCTAGTAAGATCTAAAGCTAACCAGGTAGAGTTAGACAGAGAAGAGCATTGAAAGTGTGCCAGCGTCCCTGGATGTGCAGACAGAGCACTGATAAGTCAGCTCAGCGTAACCTCTGAGCTCCCAGGCAGCCAGAGCGACAAGGGAGACACACTGTAAATCGTATGCTGTTTTCTGTGAAATGAAGAATGCATCCAGTTCCTTCTGAGAGACAAAGCTTTTAGACTGAAACTACATTAGAAAAATAACTAATTACTCATGAGGGAATTTTATGGAGGGGGTGGTTTTAAGGTGACGCTCTTCCTCAAGTTTAGAGGAATGTCCCACACGTTCCCCCATCCACACTTCTGTTTTATTTTGTGTCTTGCTGCAGGGTGTCTGTAGCCCCTGGAACCTGATATGTCAGAGGCTGGCCTTGAACTTCTGATCCTCCTGCTTCCCCTACTCACATGTGGGGATAAACAGACGAGCCCCTCATCTGCATCCCGACATTCTTTGCAGGTTGAACTGCTTGTGGTACCTTGAACAAGCCCAGCCTGCTCCCTTCGTGGGATGCTGTTGTTTGTGTCCAGACTACTTCTCATGGTTAAGCCACGACTGTCACAGGGAAGAGGGCTTCTGGGGCTGAGTCCTGGGCCTAGAGGAAGTTACCCTTGACAGATATGAAGAATGCTGCCTTTCCCAGAACAACATGCCTTCCCATTGGCTTAGGTCTGCTGATGGACCTCGGTGGTGGTGGGGAGCAGATAAGGCTTAATTCTGTGACTGACCTGACAGGGGCTTGTCTCTGAGAGGCTGTGGAGGCCTCAGACTGCCCGAGAGGTCTACTGGAGCCAGAGTCAGTCTCCTCCCAGCCCAGCGCCTCTGTAACCTGCTCCAGGGCCACATCATGTGACACAGGCTGACTGTACCACTGTGTGCTCTTCCTGTAGAGCAGAGAGCTGGGCTCCAGCCTCAGGCCACTGTAGCCGCCGGTCTGCATGCTCCACTGGCTCTGGTTTCCCGCAGGGCGTGGTGTCAGGGTGAGTTTGCTGTTACACATCTGTCCACTGGAGTGTCACCTCCAAGAAGCTCTCCTTTACTGCTTATCAGAATAGTGCTGCCACCCTGCCCTTACTGCCTCTAAGTCTCCCACAGCAGCCACCTCAGGCTAATGTATGCCTGGTTTAGTTTCTGGTCCCTTAAAAAATTACCACTGTGGATGTAACTCAGTTGGCAGAGTGCTTGCCTAGCTTGCCCAAATCTGGGTAAGCTAGGTGTCATACCTGATCCAGACTTAAATCCCAGCACTCAGGAGGTAGAAGCCAGAGAGAGTTCAAGGCCAGCCTGGGCTACAGACCCTGTCTCAAAAAATAATTGTACAGTTCTGCTTGCTTCTCCTTCATCTTTCTTATCCCATAGTAGGACCAGCCCTGACACATAGTAGGTACTCATCAAGAATTACTTGAATTCAGTTAATGACTGAAGCTATATTAACATACAATATAAAGGAAATTGGAGACTGACATTTGATATTCCTAAATATGCACTCTCAAATCTGCTTTGTCCCATGCTTGCCAATTCGAGGATGAAGTCGGTTCTAGAACCATCCACTGGACCTTGTATTTCAAGGAACAAACCACTGATGAGAACCCGTTGCTGCAGACGTGGAATACAGGAAGGAGGCCTGTCCTGCTCTGGGTGGCCCTCTGGAGAGTCATACAGAAGGGGTGTGCAGAGGACCTGCCTAAGCACCTCCCCCATGGCAGGCGCTGCCTGGGCTGGGCATTTCGTCCTCAGGATGACACAATTGTCATCCCTTTGCACTGTTATGTAAACTGAGGCAGGGGGAGGCTGAGGACCTGGCTGGAGGCTGTACAGCTGGCAAGTGTCCCAGCTGAGAGCTGACCCCAGTGTGATGTCAGAGTCAGCCGTCACCGCCAGCTGTTGCCAGGCAGGTGCCCGAGAATCACAGAAAAACAGATGCCACAAGGCAGGTTTCTTTAATATCTTTTTGGTATTTTATTCTGAAATGAATGGCTCAGGTTACTACGAAGACAATGCCGATGCCTTGCATCTCTGGCAATCCTCACACCCAGTATCCTCCACGTGGATACCTCCTTCCTGTGTTGGCACCACGGCACTTATGTAGACATCACTGGCATAATATTTGGAGACCGCTACGGAGGCAGGTTTGCTAGGGGAAGTACATTTAGAGTCCCCCACCCTTTCAGCGGGGATGGGGAGAACAGCATCCGGTATAGCCAGACTGACCTCAGACTGCTGGCACGTGAGGAGAAGAGAGTTTCTAACCCTCTCGTCTCCACTCCTCCCCTGTTCTGGTGTCACAGCACAAGTTACCACATGTGGTTTATCTTGTGTGGGGGATCAAGGCCAGGCTGCCTGTATGCCAGGCAAGCACTCCACAACTGAGCCAGATCCCCAGGCCACAGTCTCTAGGCTAATGCAGAGATAAGAGGAAGACAGATGGGGGAGGGGGGCATTCCGAAGGACGTCAGCTCCCATCACAGTCATCAGCTTGGCATCACCAAATATCAAAGGTGGCTTCCAAGACTCCTTCGAGGCCTTTTCCTTCTTTGTCCTTGTGCTCCTTGTCATTGAAGTTCTGCTAGCAAGGTGACCGTGGAGACCCCTGGATGGCAGCAAGCTGACCGTGGAGACCCCTGGACGGCAAGCTGACTGTGGAGACCCCTGGGTGGCAAGGTGACTGCGGAGACCCCTGGGTGGCAAGGTGACTGTGGAGACCCCTGGACGGCAGCAAGCTGACCGTGGAGACCCCTGGATGGCAGCAAGCTGACCGTGGAGACCCCTGGACGGCAAGTTGACTGTGGAGACCCTGGATGGCAAGCTGACTGTGGAGACCCCTGGGTGGCAAGGTGACTGTGGAGACCCCTGGACGGCAGCAAGCTGACCGTGGAGACCCCTGGACGGCAAGTTGACTGTGGAGACCCCAAGATGGCAAGCTGACTGCGGAGACCCCTGGGTGGCAAGGTGAGATCTACCCGAATGCCTTCTCCTCTGTCATCTTCTCTTCCTCTCTGCACACATCAGCCCAGAGACTGAAACATGACTTTCCCTACGGCCATCAGCTTCCTTTCCCCATCTGAGATCTTTCCTCAGTCCTTCCCAAGCACCAGGTTGGCAGTTAAAGAGCCCCAGCCAGGCTCCTGTCTCCTCCCACCTAGGAAACAGTGGCCAACCAATGACGTAACTGTCTCAGTTTTATTTTCCTCCTCTATAAAATGGACCCAGCAGTACAAAGGCCATTGACTTAGAATAACACAGGGCATGTCAGTGAGCCCCACACAGAAGCCGGCAAGGAATGGATGTGAGCACCTTCCCCTCGCCAAATCTTTCCCTCCCCTTCGCTGCTGGGTTCCTTTGGGTTCCCTGAGCTAGACTGCTAAGGGGTGACTGGCCTTCAACTGCCAAGGTCCTCCGAAGGAAGGGTCTCAGGTCAGAGAGCGCCAGGGTTCAAGGCCACAACACAATGTTCCAGTAAAGCCTTGAAAAGAGGGTCTTGCTATGCATTTCACCAAGACCAGGAGTTTCAAATATTAAATGGAAAGTCATTCTAGAGGACTACTTTTGTTAATGTTGTAGTGTTAAAATAATTCTATTTTTACCAACTGTTAATTCACTCAGGGCTCCTAGGTTAAGGACAGACAGACTTTCACTTCTACCATTTACTAAAACTCCATCCTCTGTAATAACAGGCTGTTAAAACTCAGTCAACAACGTTCACTTAAAATCTAATCCTTACCAGTGTTTTGATAATGGGAAAAAATTTACCCCCAAAGAAAAGACACATGAAAACTCAAACCACCAGGCTGGATCTAGGTGAGCCCTTTGCATTTGCCTGCAAACCAAACAGATTTCTGGCGGGTTACCAAATGCCAGGTAAGCATAACAATGTCGACACAGCCGAGTGAGAGCCTGCCCTAGCTAGAGAGCTCTGGGCGGCCCTGGCTTGCCGAAAGCAGACACTTACCATTGCAGAGTGGCGGGCGTGGAGTGAGGCTTGGAGGCTCTATTATTTTCCTTTTCCTCATCTGTTAAAGGAAAGAAAACGGAGCTGACTTCAGCTGGCAACGGGAGAGAGTCAAAGGCTGCTCGGGAACCCCAAGTTTCAAAAGGCCAGGTCTCTCTCGGATGCCGACGCCTCGAAACAACGACATCGTGGTGTTTCCAACACACTGGCTCATTGCACTCTCATACAAGGAAAACTTATTTTATTTTTTTCAGACGAGATCTCACTGTGTAGCCCTCGTTACATATGGAACCTGGAACTTACCATGTAGACCAGGCTACTCTCAAACTCAGATCTACCTGCCTCCTAAGTCCTAGAATTAAAGGCTTGTTCTACCACTCCTGACTCAGAAAACTGACTTCTACAAAAGACTCCTAAGTCCCTTTTCTTTATGTGACAGTAGTAGGTTAGTCTGACAAGCTGCCCTCTGTTGTCACTGACTCCTAAAATGCATCTAGCCACTTAGACATCTTGGACATCTGTCTCCACGGTTTGAGGCCTTAAATATATTGTCTTTACTGACTGCTGTGGACTGAACCTTTGTGTCCCTCCGGTATTCATTTAGGAATTAACCAATCCCCCCAAGAGTGGATGTTTGGAGGTGGGCCTCCAACTCCTTTGTGAATAGGATCAAAGCCTTTATGAAAGACCCCAGAGAGCCATCTCGTCCCTTCTGCCTTCAGCACACGCCAAGAAGGCTCCACCTCCGATCCAGGAGGCGGCTCCCACTAGAGCCGAACCTCAACAAATACCTTGGCCTTACGGCCTCCAGAACCAGTTTGAGGTATTTTGTTGGCGTAACTAGGACAGACTTAGACATTCATCATAGTATGCTCTTCGTGACCCCAACAGAGCAGACAGTTTGGGACTGTGAAAGCTGTGTAGGAATTCTGGAGAGCCAGAAGAGGCGGTATGGCAGGACAGAGTCCTATGGCCTCTTTTGTAAAGGACTGGATAATAAGGTTTTCGGTTCAAGAGGAAAATCAAGAATATTTTGTAGAACTTTTTTTATACTGACCTCAAATTCACGGCAATCATCCTGCCTCAGCCTTCTCGAGTGCTAGGATTAAAGTAGGAGCCACTATGACTTACCTTAGAATTTGTATAACAAGAAAGAAAGCAAATCCCTCCTCATCACACAAATGTGTTTGTCAAAGATTCAAAATACAATAATAACAATCACTAGTGTCTACAGTATGTCATACACACACACACACACACACACACACACACACACACACACACACACACACACACGTCTACTATATATAATGAGAATAACCAAGTTATTTGGGGCAGGTAACTTAACGTTTCTCTTAATCGGGATTCCGTGAGCATTCCCCAATATCAAACATCACAAAAGCTTATCTGTAAAAGTCACTTATCTGTAAAAGCTACCATCTAGTAAAAGAGCCATCAGGCCAGGCAGACCCACGGGTTCCTGATTGCTAAGTCCTTCAATGCAACAGTCAGAGCAAAGAATCAATCTCCCGCCCACCTGAGAGCTATTAGTCTTTCATCCAAGTCCCAAGGAGGATTAGTAAACTGAGGAGGCAACATAAAATTTCTTGATCCACAAATTTAGCCCAAGAAAATTACTACAGTCTTAGAGAGTTTCAAAAGAAAATTATAGACATGAATGAAAATAACATGATGAAATTCATTATTTCATACAATTAGTACATGCTGAGAACTTAGCTTTTAAGAAACTGGTTGTCTGGGTGTCATGCACGCCTGTAATATCCAAACCCAGAAAGCTGTGGTAGGAGGATTAACGGTTCATAGTCAGTGGCAGGAGATGATCATAAGGTCAGGGTGACCTGAGTCACCCTGGAACTCCATGACAGAAGCAGAGAACAGGCTCCCGGAAGTTGTTCTCTGACCTCCATATGCACTCTGTAGCATGCCCACAACACAAATAAATGTAAGAGGAGAGAGAGAGAGAGAGAGAGAGAGAGAGAGAGAGAGAGAGAGAGAGAGAGAGAGAGAGAGAGCATCTAGTTTGGTACATAGTGGAATGCTGCCTCAAAGATGTGCGAGGCCCTGGGTTTCATTTTCAGCATCTCAAGCAAAGGGAAAAGAACAAAAGATAAAAGAGAGAAAGAAACCATACCGACCAAACCTACAAATGTACTGAACAAAATCTGGCACAGAACACTGAAGTGGAAAGGAACTAGTCCCTGTGAAAATAGCTTAAATGAAACAAAAATGAAGATGGTCTAAGATGCTGGTGGCCAACAGGGTATCTGCCCTTTTGACATTGTGACACACGCTGTCATCTACAAGGTCTGCGCTCAAGAACTGTGCAATCACGCTGCCCCCCCCCCCAAATCTCATAATGTTTTGCATAAGTTCATGCTTTTGCGCCAGGCCAATTCATAGTTATCCTTGGCTGCACGGATCCTACAGGCCACAGGTTGGATACACCTGACCAACTCTTTCCTAAAATCTTAAAATTGTTTCAGTAAAGTTGAGTCCAGAAAGTATTCTTTCCAAGAAAGCAGATTGGCATCAGTATAATTCTGATTAAAATATGGGGTTGAGAAAAATGTTTTTCCACAATGAAATGGAATCTGTGAGAGACTCTCTGGACAGGAAAGGAATGGGAAGAGACAGCAAACCTGTGACTGGGCAGAGAGTGGTGGGCTGAGGACAAGGTCAAAGTTCAAAGTTGTGGGTACAGAGCAGGGAGGGACGTGGACTCCCAATTCCATACTGTACCTCTCATTAATAGGCCCCCAAATGGCTGCCTCTCTGTTTTGAAAGCCACCCTACCTCAGCTAATAAAACCCATATCCAGCCGGGCGTTGGTGGCGCACGCCTTTAATCCCATCACTCGGGAGGCAGAGCCAGGCGGATCTCTGTGAGTTCGAGGCCAGCCTGGGCTACCAAGTGAGCTCCAGGAAAGGCGCAAAGCTACACAGAGAAACCCTGTCTCGAAAAACCAAAAAAAAAAAAAAAAAAAAAAAAAACCATATCCATTGGGCGTTGTCTCCCAAACCACAGTATTAATATAAACACTAAGAGTTCTCGGGCACAAAGATGCCAGAATCCTCAACAGACTCAACACTGTTCAGTGCCCTGTCACCCGAGCCCCTTCTGAATGGTTCTTGTTCCTGCAAGCCTAAACTGGGCATCGTTGGTTGCTTGAAGCCTCCCCCACATCTGGTTCTGTTCTGCCATGCTCATCTTCCAGCTGAAGCATCTAGCCCACACCCACCGCCTCTCCTTGAGGGTTAGCTCACTGAGAAGGCAGGTGAGGACCCAAGTCACCTTGTGTCACCTCCTGCCAGGGCCTCAGGACTTAACACTTATGGTTGTTTAAAACACAACATAAAAGGCTGAGGGGCCCCCAACTGGATCAGGCCCTCTGAATAGGTGAGACAGTTGATTGGCTTGATCTGTTTGGGAGGCAACTAGGCAGTGGGACCAAGTCCTGTGCTCATTGCATGAGTTGGCTGTTTGAAACCTGGAGCTTATGCAGGGACGCTTGACTCAGTCCGGGAGGAGGGGACTGGACCTGCCTGGACTGAGTCTACCAGGTTGATCGCAGTCCTTGGGGGAGGCTTTGCCCTGGAGGAGATGGGACTAGGGGGTGGGCTGGGGGGAAGGGGAGGGGGCAGGAAGGGGGAGAACAGGGGAACCCGTGGCTGATATGTAGAACTGAATGGTATTGTAAAATAAAAGGAAAAAAAAGAATATTTTCAAGGAATGATGTTGGGAAATTATATATTCACATGCAAAAGAATGTGTGTGTGCAAGAAATAAAATCAGAAATGAAAAAGAAAAAAAAAACACAACATAAAAGGTGGTTTTATAGCATACTAAAGAACACGGATTTGAGACTGTCATAAGAATGCAACCAGGGGGCTGGAGAGATGGCTCATTGGTTAAGAATATTGACTGCTCTTCCAGAGGACCTGGGTTCCATTCCCAGCACCCACATAGCAGCTTACACCTGTCTGTAACTCTATTTCCAGAGGACTCAACATTCATGGCAAAATTCCAATGCACATAAAATAAAAATAAATAAATCTCTTGTGGTTTTTTTTTTAAAAGAATGCAATCAATAAATACATAAAGTAATACTCAACTTCTTGGATTCAGAGAGGAAGTCAAATTATAAACTGATAATTCCCAGTGCTGGTGTGTACAAAGTAAAACTGACAAAATGGCGTCAGTGTGTCTCGCAGAGAACCTGAGCTTGGCCCCCAGCTCTCAGACGGTGACTCTCAACTCCCTGACTCCAGGCTCAGGGCATCTGACACTAGAGACACCAGCCGTGCACACGGTGCACAGACATGTGTGCAAGCAGACATTCGTACATATAAAATAAAGACTTAAAAAACTAGGTACATTTTTAAAGAATACCAAAATAATACTAACATTCTTTGAAAGGCGTTGGTGCTAGCCACCACGTGGCACTTCCTACAGGCTGGGTCACTGGAGTCCTCTGAGCACAGCTGAGAGGAAGTTGTATACAGTTATAAATTAAGAAACAAGGTTGTATGGAGACTAGACGACTCCCATGGTCCAAACAGTTGGTGAATGTGCGCTGATACTTGGTGCCTCGTTCTGGGGTGGCACTGGTGATACTTAGGCAAGAACTGTTCCACCCAAAGCCATCAAAGTATGGGCCTTTGATCTCATCACCAAGCAGGCGCCTCTGCCTCCAGGGTCCTCCTGCTCTTTGGGCCATTTGTGCCCCTGGGCCCAGCTCTGAATGCCTGGGCTCCTTCTCTCAAAGGGTGGCACTCCCGAGCCTTACCCATAGATAGTGACTAGCAATCCTAATTCTCCTGAAGGACTGGTTACTTCCTAACTTGCCAAATATTTATGAAATGTCTACTGCATCTTAACTCTGTGCCAGGGGCAAAGGCTGAGAAAAAGCAGACACAGCCTCTGCTCTCGTGAGCTCAAATTATCTGCTAAAAAGGGAAAAATCAATTTTCCTCAACAGAGTCTCATTGGGTATACAAGCCACACTTAAGGCCAGGCCCCACGCCCAGCAGTAGATGGCCAACACAAAATGAACTCGGTGGTATTTTTGGAGATTTTTGTTTTGTTTTGGTTTTACCTTATAGATCTTTTGCTTATATATTATGGTTTCCCATTTTGTTTTTGTGTGTTTTATTTGTATGCAGACATGTGTCTCTGTCTATATTTATGTTTTATGCTTTTTCTTTGGGTCTTTTTTTTCTTTTTGTTCATTTTGTCCTATCCTGGTTTGCTTCTATTTTATCTTCTAATTATTATTTTCAGATGCCTGTTTGTATTCTAATGAGCGAGAGAAAGAGAGAGTGTAGATTTTGGTGGGTAGGGAAGTGGGGAGGATCTGGGAAGAGTTGGGGGAGGGGAAACCATAATCAGAATATACTGTATAAAAAATCTATTTTCAATTTTAAAAAATCAGCTAAAAAAGTTCAAGTTCTGGGCAGGCACTGTGGATGTCGGGTCCAGGATGCTATGGTAACAAAGAAGGTGGGATGTGAGCCTGGCTTGGGATCTGAAGGAGCCATCAGC